ATGCTCAAGAAGTCCTTATAACGAGGGCGCACATGATCTATTCGTCAAAGAAGAACCCACCGATAATAGCGAACATTGTCATAACAAGAGCCAGGAACGAGATACTTCGCAAAGCCAGTTTTGGTAACCGAGGTCCTCACAAGACAAGTTCGGGATGATCGACGTGCACGGTCTCCACTCTTCACACAGGCTGAGGAGGCAGGAGAAATCCAAAGATCCGCCACAGCAACTTACTCATCAAATACACGAACGCAACAGAATCAACAACACAGTTATATACGTGTCCGATCCTAACGACCGGCCTATACGTACAACGGTACCACGAGAAGAAATGACTCACAATACAAATCTACAGAACAAGCGTGTGGAATGTTCGTGTTCCAGCACATATGCTTTGTCACATATTCTTGGTTGACACTCATTTCTGTACCGTCCAGCAGTACAGAACCATCAACAAAATCAACACCCACATTGAGATTATGTCCCACACCCTTGGCCCGTTTAAGTAAACTGTGGAATGCCTTGTTTTCATCACGAGTCTTGACATGCTTCACAAGAGGATCATCAGACAAATAAATGTGTGCAAAAGTGCACAAAACAATTCTATCGTGAAGAGCCCCAACGTTAATCAAACCACGCCCTCACATAATGATTGGTAAATATAAGCTATTTAGGGAAGGGCGGGGGTGTTGGGATCTATTGTCTGACATAATTCTTCGTGTGAGGGTGTCAATACCCTGAATTTCTTGTTTTCTCCAATCAACAACACCAAAAGAATATGAAAGCATATACATGCAGCATAAGTATTTGTTGCTTTAACGTTATTGCGAGCGCTCAGCTCTGATCTCCAGATTTTCTTAAGTCTACATTTGTACTCTGTCCGACGTTTTCTCTTGATATGGGCATTCTGGAGTTTGTCCCTAATCTGCATCCCTTATTACGTATAGGCCTGACCTTATATATTTTATTTCATGACACCGCAGGAGAAGTTACAAGCATACAACAATAGGGGATTTTATTACACGCCTGAAGTTACGGAAGTACTCGTATGTATTGCTCAATGTTATCGGATGAATTGCACAAAGTACTCACATGTATTGCATAAAATACTTGTCAGCCTGGTTTCCTGGGTATGTTGCGCTGGCGCTACACTGACCCAGGCAATGACTGCACAATGGCCACCTCCACAGACGAACACACATGGCGGACACGACATGTATTTACTATAGAAAAACGCTAGAAAAACATTAGATTGGAATTAATCGATTATTTTTCCAAAATTATTAGATCTATTTACCATTAATTTCATTGTAATAAGAGAACAAATGCCAAATAAATGGCTTTTCATGTGAATAAAATCCAGAGGCTAAATATCAGAACCAATGACAGACCCTATCATTAAACACAGTATTATTACGGATACTGGGAGTTCAATAATTCCGCTAAACCACAATCTCACTTAAAGTAACAATAGACGTTATTCTCGTGATATTTGCGACTAAAAAGTTCTTTCGTGTTTGCAAAATATCAAAAACTGTAAACAAAAAGTATCAAACAAAATTTAGGGTCACGAAAATTCTTTGTCATACATTTCGATATAATTACATACAAAATGAACTTTAGCAAAGAATATTCTAGAAAACTAGGAGACCGCTGTTGGAAGCGAAAGAATACACGCTGGTCAAGTAACAAAAATGGCACTTTGCGAAACGAACAATCTCGATTGACGAGTTAAATGAGAAATTAACAGTTTATAACAAAACATTTTCTAGAACATAAGAAGTGATATTAACTCCATAAATGATCATCTGCCATTGTCAATGTGGATCTAACGTAAAACGGACGTCAACAGTTTTTGTACGGGCTTGACACTTACGACAAAGGGAGACAAATTAAGGGGATATTACTCTTGTATGACAATAGTTCCGTCAAAGTGTTATGTTTTATGCAGTGAAATATCAAGTGTTTCGTTCACTCCAGTGAAATATCAAATGTTATGTTCAGTGCAATGAAAATATCACTTCTCAAACTCTGTCCTAACACACTGAAGCATATAATAAATTGTTTGATTGCGTGGTCTCTAATATTAACAATAATACTATGCTAAGTATATATGTTACTTTTCCAGTAAAGCTTGACAAGTGCTCTTTAATATAATTGAAGGCATCATTTGAGATCGACAACGATGAAATAAGTACATTCCACAGCATGAAATACATAGCAGCCTCCTACATTGAAATAAGAACATTCCACAGCATGAAATACACAACAACCTCCTACGTTGAAATAAGAACATTCCACAGCATGAAATACACAACAACCTCATACGTTGAAATAAGAACATTCCATGGCATGAAATACACAACAACCTCCTACGTTGAAATATGAAATTCCACAGCATGAAATACACAACTATCTCCCACGTTGAAATATGAAATTCAACAGCATGAAATACACAACTACCTTATACGTTGAAATAAGAACATTCCACAGCATGAAATACACAACTACCTCTTACGTTGAAATAAGAACATTCCACAGCATGAAATACACAACTACCTCTTACGTTGAAAAAAGAACATTCCACAGCATGAAATACACAACTACCTTATACGTTGAAATATGAAATTCCACAGCATGAAATACACAACTACCTTATACGTTGAAATATGAAATTCCACAGTATGAAATACACAGCTACCTCTTACGTTGAAAAAAGAACATTCCACGGCATGTAATACACAACCACCTCCTACGTTGAAATATGAAATGTCACAGCATGAAATACACAACTACCTTATACGTTGAAATAAGAACATTCCACGGCATGAAATACACAACAACCTCCTACGTTGAAATATGAAATTCCACAGCATGAAATACACAACTACCTTATACGTTGAAATAAGAACATTCCACAGCATGTAATACACAGCTACCTCTTACGTTGAAATAAGTACATTCCACAGCGTGAAATACACAGCAATCTCCTACGTTGAAATAATTACATTCAACAGCATGAAATACACAGCTACCTCCTACGTTGAATAAGAACATTCCACAGCATGAAATACACAACTATCTCCCACGTTGAAATAAGAACATTCCACGGCATGAAATACACAGCCACCTACTACGTTGAAATAAGAACATTCCACAGCATGTAATACACAGCTACCTCTTACGTTGAAATAAGTACATTCCACAGCGTGAAACACACAGCAATCTCCTACGTTGAAATAATTACATTCAACAGCATGAAATATACAGCTACCTCCTACGTTGAATAAGAACATTCCACAGCATGAAATACACAACTATCTCCCACGTTGAAATAAGAACATTCCACGGCATGAAATACACAGCCACCTACTACGTTGAAATAAGAACATTCCACAGCATGAAATACACAACTACCTTATACGTTGAAATATGAAATTCCACAGCATGAAATACACAACTACCTTATACGTTGAAATATGAAATTCCACAGTATGAAATACACAGCTACCTCTTACGTTGAAATATGAAATTCCACAGCATGAAATACACAACTACCTTATACGTTGAAATATGAAATTCCACAGTATGAAATACACAGCTACCTCTTACGTTGAAAAAAGAACATTCCACGGCATGTAATACACAACCACCTCCTACGTTGAAATATGAAATGTCACAGCATGAAATACACAACTACCTTATACGTTGAAATAAGAACATTCCACAGCATGAAATACACAACTACCTTATACGTTGAAATATGAAATTCCACAGCATGAAATACACAACTACCTTATACGTTGAAATATGAAATTCCACAGTATGAAATACACAGCTACCTCTTACGTTGAAATATGAAATTCCACAGCATGAAATACACAACTACCTTATACGTTGAAATATGAAATTCCACAGTATGAAATACACAGCTACCTCTTACGTTGAAAAAAGAACATTCCACGGCATGTAATACACAACCACCTCCTACGTTGAAATATGAAATTCCACAGCATGAAATACACAACTACCTTATACGTTGAAATAAGAACATTCCACAGCATGAAATACACAACTACCTTATACGTTGAAATATGAAATTCCACAGCATGAAATACACAACTACCTTATACGTTGAAATATGAAATTCCACAGTATGAAATACACAGCTACCTCTTACGTTGAAAAAAGAACATTCCACGGCATGTAATACACAGCTTCCTCTTACGTTGATATAAGAACATTCCATGGCATGAAATACACAGTACCTCGTACGTTGAAATAAGAACATTCCACAGCATGTAATACACAGCTACCTCTTACGTTGAAATAAGTACATTCCACAGCGTGAAATACACAGCAATCTCCTACGTTGAAATAATTACATTCAACAGCATGAAATACACAGCTACCTCCTACGTTGAATAAGAACATTCCACAGCATGAAATACACACCTATCTCCCACGTTGAAATAAGAACATTCCACGGCATGAAATACACAGCCACCTACTACGTTGAAATAAGAACATTCCACAGCATGTAATACACAGCTACCTCTTACGTTGAAATAAGTACATTCCACAGCGTGAAACACACAGCAATCTCCTACGTTGAAATAATTACATTCAACAGCATGAAATACACAGCTACCTCCTACGTTGAATAAGAACATTCCACAGCATGAAATACACAACTATCTCCCACGTTGAAATAAGAACATTCCACGGCATGAAATACACAGCCACCTACTACGTTGAAATAAGAACATTCCACAGCATGAAATACACAGTGCCTCGTACGTTGAAATAAGAACATGCTTCGGCATGAAATACACAGCTACCTCTTACGTTGAAATAAGAACATTCCACAGCATGAAGTACACAGCAACATATGTTATGCACTTCTTACAGGCACACAATTAAATGAAAAAGTTGTATAGTTGAAGTAAATAGCCATACATGTCAATAATCAATCGATTTCCGGGTGTAACATGTTGGCGTTATGATGAGACTCAGGGACTTGCTCCGGAGAACGCAATCAAGAACTCGACATACATGTACGTAAGTAGACAAACCTGTGTTTCATCTTGAAGTGCATGATTAACCATTGTTAAGAAAACATATGTAAATACAAAGACTTGTTTATGAAAACATTATGTCTCAAATGAGTGAAAAGCGGAGTGCCATTTTCTGTTGTACTCTAGCTTCATAATATAACTGCCGGGCAAACACACTCAGGCTTCATGGTGGTTAATAATGATACAAACAAGAAGCGGTTATTCGATGACGATCTATTTGATCATTATTGCATTTTTAAAGTGGTAAAATTGGTAATTTTTTCTACAATATTTTTGTAAAAGTTAACAGTGTTAATAGTCTTTATTGCGTTTAATTTAGGTACACGTAAAGAGCTGTATTAGGTCAGTCTCACATGTGAAGGTCGCAGCTATCTGGAACATTGTATAACATTCTTGGAGCATGGTCAGTGTCATCTATCTGTGGGTGTCTCGGCCTCTATCGCAATGAATTTGGATCATTGTATTTATGTTTGCAGTGTTTTGGCGAATGTTTTCAATCGAGTACCGTTTTCATGACATTTGTATTATTTTGGTCAAATCCAGTTTCAAGTGTACAATTGTTTTTCCCGGCAGTTTAGAATATAATAATCAAAGTCCAAAACATGTCTTGGACATTTTCAAATGTTTTGGAATTTGATTTTTGCTGTCGCTGTGATCAAATATAGTGCTTGTTGCAAGAGCCGACTCGACTCAGTAACGCAGAGGTGACATCTGTTGTAATGTTAGAAATGTTTATGTGTAGTACTCTATACCGTTTTCAAAGGTCTTTCATTAAATGTAGACACACTGGATACTGAAATCTTTAAATTACCTACGAAGATTCGTTTACAAATTTACATATCAATCACTCATAATTTCGCAGTTTTTCTTCAAAATGTGCCACGACCGCCTCCGTGGTCTAGCGTCTGCCCGGAGAGCGGAAGGTCGGGGACTCGATCCCTTGCCGAGTTATAATAAAAGACGTTAAAAGATGTTACCCTGCATGACGCTCGGCATAATGGGACTTAAACATGGACTGGTCGGCTCGGAGTCAGTATACTGTGTCAGAGTGTCGTATTCATGTTGACACTACGGCATGGTATGTCAGTGGGCTAGCATCATAAAATAGGCATTGGTGCGGACTAGTAGAAGCAGCCACACACCTACGCGCGCACACACACACACACACACACACACACACACACACACGCACGCACACTCGCACGCACGGGTGTATGCACGTCGCAGTTTAAGTGCAATAACCTTGTAAGCGACGTTAAACCCCATTTCACCTAGATGTGCTACGTTGTATAACATTAAATAAGAGCGTGTGTCATGTCGTACAACTTGTTACATGAATTAAAAGCGTGTATTATGTCGTACAACTTGTCACATGAAGTAAGAGTATGTAGTACGTCGTACAGGTTATCCATGAAGTAAGAGCATATAGTACGTCGTACAGGTTATCCATGAAGTAAGAGCATATAGTACGTCGTACAGGTCATCCATGAAGTAAGAGCATATAGTACGTCGTACAGGTCATCCATGAAGTAAGAGTATGTTCGATACTACACTCTGAGGATGACACAGTAATATGAGCATGTATAGGTCCTGCGTAGGATGTGGCCCTTTTCAAGAATCTCCTATCTACAAAGTTGGGAAGATCCTACGAGAATAGGCACGTATCTTACATATCTGCAGATCATATACATTTTCATTAACCATGTCACATATCGCTGTTTAAAATCCAAGATCAGATATCTATTCATCTTGTCATAGCGTTTTGATATATTTTTTTTGTATTTACGTTATAACGTTGAACGTCATATAATTCGCCAAAGGATTTATGCTTTGGATTTGGACAATTTTACACACCATTAGGATTTACTGGAATCATCATTATGACGATATGATTTTTATGGTAACAAACTTTTTAATGTGATCTACAGAATAATATCCTTGTGGTGATGATGGCAAGCAGAGGTAGGTGGCCAGGTAGATCCCCCAAGATTAACGCCCTTGTAAACAGCGACGTCGACCAGTGGGATGATGTGCTGCCTGTACCCAAACTCAGCTTCTCTGTGGCATCTGTCATCGTCTTCTGTCTGGCGGTACTGTGTTTCGCGAACAGCCACGATGCAGGTTTAGTGTTTGACGATGAGCGGGCCATCATAAAAAACAGGGATGTGTTACCCGAGACTCCGCTATCTGAGATATTTGTTCATGATTTCTGGGGTCAGATGTTGGATAACATGAGCCATAAGTCATACAGACCTCTCACTGTGATGACCTACAGGTAAGATATTTTAAGTAATCTCCAAGTAAAATAAAAAAGATTTGCCCTGAAACCTGTCTTAAGATTGATTCTCTTAGTGTTACATTCCGGTAAAGTGAGTGAGTGAGTGGGTGGATATGGGTTTACACCGCTTGTAGCAATGTTCCAGCAATATCACTGCGCAAGACACCAGAAATGGGCTTCATACATTGTATCGGAATCGAACCCGGGTATTCGGCGTGACGAGCGAACGCTTTAACAACGAGGCTATCCATTACGATGGAACTACGCATGGGCGGGTGGGCTTCACCGGTGGGCTTCCACGTTGTCGATATCAATAATCTTAACACATCATTTGGACATGTATCTCTTATGACTGATTTTCTTGGACTGCCACATCGGCGTTTTGGATCCTCGTTTAAACCATTTCTAAATAAGTCATTTTTTAATTCACTGTCATTATATCTTAATTTTGTATGTATTGTGTTAATTTACGTCAGACCATATGAGAAATATGATGGAACTGTAGATTTATCTGTTCTTAAACTGGATTTAAATCGAGAGAAGGTTTCAATATTCCTTTGCTGAATAAGTAATGTATTCCAGAATTTAATAGGGGATGGTACAAACGAGGATTCAGATAACTGAGTGCGTAATAAAGACATAGTTATATTCTAAGGTTGTATGTTACGATCGTCCCGACAGAGTGAGGTACCAGATCTTGACGGTATGAAGGTGTCACATTGTTATATATTTTATAAAATAAACACAATTTACGTTTTCTCCTGCGCTCTGATAAGGGTTCCCAGGAAGCTTTGAAATATATTTTTTTGAAGTATAGGTTGGTAAACCAGTTACAATTCTTGCTCCTTCTTGCTGTTTGAGCTTTTCTGATCTGTCGCTCTCCAGGTGGAACTACGCATGGGCAGGTGGTTTCCATCCTCGGGGCTTCCACGTTGTCAACATCGCCCTGCACGGCATGGTGTCGGTCATCTTCCTGGCAGTATTCTCTGTCCTCATGTCTGGTTACCAGGTGGACCAGGAATCTGCCAGGCCGGTGTTTGCCTCGCCCCGAGCTGCTCTCCTGTGTGCTCTGTTATTTGCTGTGCATCCCATTCACACTGAGAGTGTGAGTACATTAGTTTTTCCCATTAAGGTTATTTTTCAAGTCGGGAGACTTATTAACATCAGTGTATGTGACATAATGTTGAACTATTTCATTTTGATACATGACAGATATATAAAGAGAAATATTGCACATCGATTCTATGATGAATGGCTCGTCATAGAACAGGGGCAGTTTGAATCAAACTAACTTTTTGTATTCAACCTCTTGGATGGTTCCTTGCGCCATTAGCCTGTTGTAGGCCATCTAGGTGACACGTCTCTAAGACGCCGCCATTCATCACGCCCCCTAAGTGTGCCAGAAACTTATGATCGTGAGTTCGAATCTTGGATACGCCCTGATAATGTTTCTAGGTTTGTCAGCAGCATACCTGTGCTGGTGGGTTTTTCTCCAAAGTGGTAAACATCTGAAACCTGCATCTCTTCGGGCTTTATCGCATCAGGGGGCACGGGTGGCCCAGTCGTCTAAGGCGCCGCGATTCGCTGTGCAGAGTTGCTTCCCTTGGGCGCGCCAGAAACCTATGATTGTAGGTTCAAATCCCGGTTCGCCCCAATTATGTTTCTTGGTTTGTCAGCACCACACCGTGCTCGTGGGTTTCACCGAAGTGGTAAACGTCTATGACCTGCATCACTTCAGGCTTTCCTCCCACATTAAGCTGACACGCCGTGATATGACAGGAATAATGTTAAAAGCGGCGTTAAACACAACTCACTCAAGCACTCACTTGTGTTGGTGGTAAACATCTAAGACGTGCATCTCTTCAATCTTTATCGCATCATGACCTTGACGCGCTGTGATATTGCTGAAATAATGTTCAAAATGCTTAAACCAGTGCACTTAGTTACTCACTTACGCCATGTTTCAGGTCGCAGGGGTCGTTGGTCGGGCAGATCTACTTTGTGCGCTGACCTGTCTCCTGTCATTCCTCCTGTATGCCAGGTGTTGCAGCCCAAGTGAGTTGTGTTGGTGACTTAATATGATTAAAGCAATAGATATGCCCGTATCAAATATATCGCCATCGAATAACCGCTTCTTGTTTGTTTCATTATTAACCACCATCAAGCCTGAGTGTGTTTGCCCGGCAGTTTATATTATGAAGCTACAGTACAACAGAAAATGGCACTCCGCTCTTCACTCAATTGAGATATTATATTTTCATAAACAAGTTTGTATTTACATATTTCTTCTTAACAATGTTTAATCATGCACTTCAAGATGAAACACAGGTTTGTCTACTTACGTATGTCGAGTTCTAGATTGTGGTCTCCGGAGCAAGTCCCTGAGTTGTGTTGGTGTGTTAATGTGATTAAAGCCGTATTATTGACTACAATGGCCAGACCTAGTATTAGCATGTGACCTGCAAGATGTTAGGAGAATGTTAACCTCTCCCAAAAATATATGGTATGTCCGAAATCGAATCATGTTTATATTGGCCGGTGTGATTGAAGGACGCCATTGCATGACAGGAGTACCGCTGCACGGCGTCAGACAACAAACACTTACTTTTTATGCAAATTGTCTGAGTGGCGAGTGGTGTCATCTATGGAATACTGCGAGGGTCATTTTCGCGATCTCGAACTTTGAAAACAAACTAGCTTTAATGGTCAAATGTTTATTTCTATTTTCTATCAATTATGATAGCTTAATTGGTTAAGGAGGTATGAAATCTGGTTTCTAGAATTTCCACAAATTATGTATTGCATATAACAACAGTAGTATACAACATTAAATAGGATGTGTATTTTAATATCCTGGTTTTGAATGTTATGTTTCATTTTTGATCATGTGACAATTTTCTGTCAACCTTAATAAGAAGGGAGGTAACCACAGATTGGTGTGGTCATATCACTATGTGTTTTAAGCAACATGCATGAGGAAGTCATGCTAGGAGCCAGTGGGGTACTAAAGTAATGGTAAGCCACATTTAGTCACTCATTTAAAAATTCATAAATAGGAATTTGTTGCATCTTCTTAATTTCTACCAAACATAGTAAATTAATTTTTCATAATTGAGGGTTTGTGGCTGATTTAGACTGGCTCATGGAAATATGCCCTAGACTTCAACTTTGTTCATAAATATTCTCATGGCCGAAAGTTATGAAAGGTATATGAAATATTAAGCTATTAATATTAAGCTTAGACTATATTATGCCAAAAGTGAGAGAACGCGATATTTGCCAAAAGTTTGCGTTCTCGCGGTCTCACATTCTCGTTTGTTTTTATACATCGTACTCTAAGCGGTGAGAATAAAGTATCCTTCGATAACGTACACTTTAAGAGTTACGTCATAATGGACTGACGTTGAAATAACCCCCCCCCCCCCCCCCCCCCGTGATCTAACGTATCCTGGAGGTACCATCCTGGAAACATCGTTCTTTCATTACTGTCATGCAAGATGGCGTATCCACATCAATTCTCGGTGAAGCAGTTTCTTTAAACTTGTCGAATATTCGAATGTTATTACCTGGGAGGAAATATGGCAAGATGATGTCAACCATCCCTCATGCCGCAGGTGATAAACCCAAACATGTTCAAACCAATGTGTCCGTCCCACATCAGTCACAAAACTGCCCGAGGCGGGCGTTGGTGCTCTAGGAATTATGTATGTCTCTCTAGACAAAGGAATAAGCAATTCTTGAAAAGATTCATAACTACATGTACGCCTGTTGCTCAGCGTAGCCATTTAACAGCAGTCAAACAAAACGGCAGCTGTTGCTCTTCCTCCTACAGCGACGCCATAATATGCCCGAGGCCGTCAATTTTAGTCGGTTACGATATCATGTAGAGCAACCAGCTCGGTAAGCACACTACGAGGGCTGGTCAAAATGGTCTAAGCCTAACAAACAAAGCGAACAATTGTGAAAGTGTTTTTAATATTAATTTGCAACATAATTTCCCTGCTTTTCAATACACTTCTCATATCGATAGCGAAGCTTTTCAATTCCAGTCAGGAAGAGATTTTCTGAAGCCACCCTGAAAAAACACATTTACGGCAGCTTTTTAGGTCATCGTTGTCGTAATAGCGCTTTCAACGAAAGTGTTATTTCAGTTTAGGAAACAGGTGGAAATCACTTGGTGCCAGGTTTGGCGTGTATGGAGGGTGAGGAAATTATTCTAACCCACATTGTAGGACAGCAGCCTTTGCAAGTCGAAAGGTGTGAGAAGAGGCATGTCATGAAGTAGTAAAACTCCAGCAGTCAGCATTACTTGCCGCTTTCCTTTGATAGAATCTTTCAAGCGATGAAGTAAGTCAGCATAGTAGGCACCGGTAACCGTATTTTGACTTTCTAAGTAATCAACAAGGATCACACCCTTTCCATTCCAGTATACAGTAGCCATAACGTTCTTCACTGGTCTTGAAGACTTGAATTTCTTTGGTGTGGGGAAGTGGAATGGTGCCATTCCATGGATTGACTTTTTGACTCGGGATAATAGTTTTTGAATTTAACGAAATCCTCCTCAATTAGCTCTAAATGTTCTCTGGCAATGCCAGTTCTTTTTTCCTTAAGATCAGAATTTAGAAACGGTGGCACCCAATGTGCAGATATCTTTGTCATCTGTAAATGATCATGAATAGTAGTTTTAGTTGACATATTGCTTAGACATGTGTCTGACCTGACCTGTGGCCTTTAAATTTTAGGCACCACTCATTACAGATTTCTTTTTCAACACAACTTTAGGGTAAGGGTTAGGGTTAGGGTTAGAGTTAGGGTTAGGGTTAGGGTTAGGGTTAGGGTTAGGTCATCTTAGAAAGGTAATAAAGTTTGCGCAACCACCATGTCCTCGTGCTTTAACTATGATAGTTCGGGGCAAACCTATACTTTACACTAAACCTGGGGGTAGAGCAAACTTATTTCTCAAATACAAAATCAAATGCAGACGTTATTGGTCAATCACAGGCCAGTGAGTTGCTCCATGGGATAATATGATACACTTATTCAATGTAACGAAACTGACAGTCCAAGATTGAGCGTTGAGATACAATTAGTATAGCTTGTCCGATGTTTCACTCAACAACATATTCTCTACTTTAGACCATAAAAGATATTTATGCATTTTCATCCCCGCCCGCCTCACATTATTTTATATTGCCTCTCATGTTCCTACAGATAATTAATGTTGCTTATGTGCGTGTTCCTACTTTCTTTACCTGATTAAGTGCTCCACATAGCATACGTAGCCCTGCTAAACTCGCATGCTGCATGTGAATCGGATCCTTCGACAGTAATTGTACTCAGATACCTTAAATACCTCCCACATCCCATTCTTTTTTTAAATTGAATGAAACCCTAATTTATTGCGGCCTCAAAATCTACATGTTACACACGCTTGTACTGGAAGTGTACCCAAAGTCACGGCCTGAGGTACGTGAATGGCACTGACTAAGTGAGTGAGATTGTACAGTATTTCAATTATACCACGGCTTGCCAGCTTGGTACGGGAAGAAACCCACCATCGACGGTTTCTGGCTCTTCTGAGGGACGCAGCTGTACACAACAAATTGCGACGCTTCAGACGACTGGGCCACCCGTGCTGCTGGTGTAGGAGCCCCAATTGAAATCACTGCAGAGTGTTTTGAGCCACCCTCGACGGCCTAAATGACTCCCGGGTTCAAATCACCCCCTTTACTATTTCAAAAGTCCATGTGTGATTGTGTGTTCTGGAATTTGTTGTTTGTGTATAAATGTTTGTATGTTTTGTTTGTTTGTTGTTTCACGCAATTGGGATACGATGACATGCATGAACCAAGTCAGTGAGCCTGACCACCCGATCCCGTTAGTCGCCTCTTACCACAAGCATAGTCGCCTTTTACGGCAAGCATGGGTTGCTGAAGACTTATTCTACCCCGGATGTTCACGGGTCGTGTATAAATATGTAGATTTATTGGATGGCGTACGTTTCTGATGTTGTGGGGTGTACCCACGCTTAAGGACTCTATTGATTTATATACATCTAAGTGGACATATATTTTTTGATAATTGTAAACGCATAATTATGATTAT